ATACAATACTTACATGCCTATATTAAAAGCGTTATTGGCTGCTGTAATTGTTCTGTCTGTTTAGATTGGCCACAAAAAGATTTCAATGTGTGGGGAACAAAATCCAAAAAAGAATTCTAAAGTTAAGCTCAAGTTAATATGAGGCTTCAGCAGTCTGAGTTAGACAAATAAAGTGGGTATCTTCCAAAGTTGTGGTCTTTGCAGAACCAAAAACCTTCTTTGTCTTACTGTCAGTCTGCCTCACCTCAGCAAGGTCACAAATGTTTGATATTTTTGTACAGAATGATGAAATTTGCTGCTTTAACGTGCACAAACAAGATGTATTTATGGTTGTTGCGCATGGGAGTGGTAAAAGGGGCCCCTACAGTGCAGCCCCCGGCCAAAGTTTCACCTATGTGTACAAAATTTCTGTGGTACGTGTATCATGTCCAGACCCAGGCTGAGTTTTCGTCAGACGGCATGCCCATGGCATGGCATCGAAAATCGATGATTCACCATGAAACAGGAAGTTGTGTAACTTCAGTGTACATGCTCACAACTGCACCAAACTTTACATGCTTGGTAAGCGCCCCGCCCTCAACACATCTACAAGTCAATATTCACTCATAGTCACCTATACATAGCGCCACCTACTGGCAACAGGAATTGACTACTTCTATGCTGCGATGAACCACTTGTTGCAGGTTGGCTATATCTACTTCATAACTATCTCAGAAAATCCTTAACACAGAGGAGTCACGTGACGTAAGGCCAGTAGATGGCTGCTTAGTAGAAAACTCTGCATCGCTTTGCTACATTTATCCTCTTAGAGATATATAACAGGGAAATTTGTGTTTAGTTTGGGGGAGAAACATTGCGGAATTCTAAAATGTTGAAAGTCTTAAAGTCATCGGGCTGTGGGAATATTAAAAGACATCTGCACTCGCAATAGTCTCATAACATAGCAGAGGAAATATCTATGCGTCATTAACGAAAATCTCAGGCGACATGGAAGGCCTCGCCAAAATTCACTGTACTACTCCCTTTGTGGAGACAAAACTCTCCACCTTAATCACCAGAATAGATGAGGTGGAAAAGCGCGAGGACTACCTGGAATCAGCCGAAAAAGAATGTCAAGCTAATCCACCAGCTAGCAAGAAAAAGGTAGAGCTACTCTAGGAGAAAATAGAAGACATGGAAAATCGCTTGAGACGCAACAATATTTGTTTTGTGGGCATTCCCAAGGGCAAAGAAGGAGGAGATGCAGTTAAGTTTCTAGAGGAGCTGCTTGTGGATTTGCTGGAGATGTGAGATCAAACATGCACACCAGCCAGCAGCCCAGGATAGGAGACAGACCCAGACCCATACTGGCAAAGTTTTTAAGATCCTCTGACAGGGACCTGGTGCTGCGTGGGTCAAGAAACAAAGGCAAACTGACTTTGACTTGAAATAATAATATAATGCTGTTTCCGGACTACTCCAGAGCCACACAGGCGAAACGTGACAGATTTAAGAAGTGCAAGAAAATTCTGCATGACCAAGAGGTGATGTTCAGGATGATGTATCCTGCCAAGCTGAAGATCGATACCAAAGATGAAGTTAAGACATTTGAATGCCCCCGGGAAGTCATAGCCTTGATAGATTCTATGGAGTGAGTTTCTGGCCACAATGTGCAGCCTCCTGCTTTAAGTGGGACTTACAATTCTGCCTTGTTCTTTTGTTTATCTTTTTTTATTTTCTCTTGGTGTTGACTGCTGCTAATATAAATGTAAATGCTCCGTACTTGTATAGCGCCTTTCTAGTCTTTTCGACTACTCAAAGCGCTTTTACACTACATCTGCATTCACCAGTCACACTCACTCATACACTGGCGGAATAGCCGCCAGGGGCAATTCAGGGTTCAGTATCTTGCCCAAGGACACTTCGACACGCAACCAGGGGGAGCCAGGGATTGAACAGCCGACCTTCCGATTAACAGCCAACCCGCTCTACCTCCTGAGCCACTGGTTTGGACTAGATATTGGTAGCAGAGCGTGGAGGATTGTATACAGATCACGGATGTTCGGATTTCCGCTAGACGGACTTTAAGGGGAGTTGGAATGTGCATAGTTTAGGTATGTCCAGTCTTAAAAGAAATGAACATGATGTGGTCTTTTTACAAGAAACACACGACTGCCATGGAATTTGAAAAATTCCGTGTATGTTGGGTTGGATGTGTTTTATAGTGTAGGATCTAGTAAGAGTAAGGGGGTCGCTACATTGATTAGTAAAAACCTGCAACTTATTAAACAAATTAAAGGCAGGGTAGGCAAGTTGTTTCTAAAACACTTTTTGTCATATTTGTTGAAACTGTCTTTATACACCAATACATATTAAAGTTAGGTGCTCTGAAAAAGAGTATAAAAATCGTCTGTCTGTAGTCCTCTCAGGGCTGCAATAAACAAAGCCACTGGTTGATTGGCTGGGTGACTGTCACTCTCCCTTGCTACCATGGCTACCAGCCCTCCTGCTACAGGAGCTGCCCACATGCACGCACCCGCTCATCTCTCTCAGACCTGACGAGCAAAGCGGTCAGACTGGAGGTAATATCTGCGTGGCTTTTCCACGATGGTGACCACTGAGGTACCCCAAGGGACTGAAAAGTTACACTTTATTTCAGCTGGACAGGTAATCTGGCTTTTTTAATTTTGATGGGAATTTGTTACTTTTCATTGCTAGCCAATGTACCTACTTAGCAAATAGCACACAGCTAAGGGTAGCTACCTACTTTTTTTTTTTTTTCATTAACAAAAATATTAGTGCTAAAAGGAAATGGAGCACGTAAGATGACAAAAACAGCTTTAGGGAGAAGATAAAGAGAGTAATAAAACACCAGTTATGGGGCTTCAGTTAATTTAAAGTTTTTTTTGCTGTTTTCTTCTTCATGAACAACAGGGACTTGTAGTACAATGCAAATTCTTTCTTGAAGACAATAGAGTCTGTGTTTTTATACATTTTGTGGATAAAAAATTTACCCAAGATAATTAGTGTTTAAAAGCAGATCATAGTTTTTGTCCTTCATTATAATTCCAAATGTGATGTTATCTCTAGTGAAACTGGAGAAAGACTGGAGATAAGGCCAATCATACATTATCACACCAGAATGTATTACTGTAAGGGCAGAAGAAAAACAAATGTTCCATGGTCTCTATGTCCTCATCACAGAATATACAGTTAGTTGGATCAAAGTTAAATCTATGTGAGAGGAGTTCTTGAAGGATATATGTCATTAAATACTTTAAAGTGAAGCTCTTTAGCTTTTGGTGATAAAGGTAACTTTAAGAAATCTGTGCGTAGTTTCTTCAAAGAAGAAAGATCACGCAACACTTTGTTTTGCAAAGTCTTACTACAGAACTGGTGACCAGCGATCATCAATGAAGGAAGAAGAGGGGGGTTGAACATATGAGGTAGTGCATTTCTTGCCATTAAAAGGAAGGCAGATGGGACGCTTTGAACAACCATATCATAATGTTTACGATTGCACTGAAAATTAATTTTGTACCAAAATCTTCAAAAGATAAAACATTTCCATAGTTGTCCAGTAAATGTGTGACACACCAAATGTTCTTTTCCTTCCATTCACTGAAATACAGGGACTTATTTCTAAAGAGAATGAATATGCATTTCCAGATGGGTACATCATGGGGAGTAAAATTGTGTTTGTACAAAATTTCCAATATAACCGAACTTGTGAATGAAATGCAGACAGTTTTCTAGAAAGTTTTGCAACATCAAAATCACAGCGTAAAAGTAACTGAATACCTCCAATTTCTTTTTAAACAATTCCCTGGAGACACGATACCAGAAGCTTCTACTGTTTGCTAGAAAGCATCTTAACCATTTAGTCTTTAAGGTTTCACTATAGTCGCTCTTTTCAGATAATGGGGTTTTCTTTTGCAGATGTAATCAAAGTTTAAAGTATTGATGGTTTTGTTGGGGATAGACAGAGAAAAGGCTGGGTAAATGCATCTTGAAAGGCTTTCCATTTTGGTTATATAAATGCGACCAACCAGAGAAAGATCTCTATTTAACCATCTATCTAATCTTGATTTACATTCATCCATTTTGTTCCATCCATTTAATGTTTCACTCAATTTAGTATCTTTACAGTACAGTATGTATACCCAAGTATTTGACTGCAGTTTTAATAGGGATACCATATGCTGCCTTGAGGTGGCAGTCATGTATAGATAACAGCTCACACTTTTTCAGGTTCAGTAACCCAGATGCTTTTGAGAATGAGTCTATAGTTTCAGTAGCCTCTGGAACCTGCTCAACATTTTTAATAAACAGAGTGGTGTCCTCAGCCAGCTGACTTATAACTATTCAGTTATCAAAGACATTTAACTGTTCAATATCTGAGTTTTTGATGAGGATTGACAGTATTTCAGCTGCAACGGTAGCTACCTACATAGCAATTAGCATACAGCTAATGGTAGCTACGAGTGTAGGCTGGTGTAGCGAGCCATGAATTATTTGTAGCTGCAGTTCTAAGTTGGAAAACGGCAGCGCAGCTGAGACCTGTGTGCAGCCAAGAGCTGTGTTTGCCGATGCTAACATCAGGTAAGACAATGTCTCCGCCGGTTTAGTTATTCACCACCTAGGTTTATTGTTATAATATGTTTACACTTATCTTTACCTTGTATCTAATCTGTTTGTGTTTAATACTATCTTGTGTCTGCAAGTGTTGTTTGACTGTATATGCTGTTATATATTTGAACAAGACATTTTACAAATGTGGTGATGTAGCTGTGTTTTTGTAGTTATGAGAAAGACATTTCAATGTTAGTGTACACAAACAACGCTGGCTAAAGGTCCCCAAGTATCTGTGTTTCGTATAAGCTATTTATTATATAGTTTGACATTGTACATAGCTAAACATATTGTGTGAAAACCTTTTACTGTAATTGGTGCTGTCATGCCATTATTTATTTTAGCAGAAGTAAAAAATACTGTGTGTTTTATTTCTACTGTGCCCTCAGGTCACCTGCAGATTTGGAGTCTAACACCCTGTACTTCTTACCAGTATACACTGATCGGACCATGCTGGCTGACCTGGATTACAACCACCATGTCCACAGACCAGTCAGGAGAAAAGATGACATTTCACAAGTGACATTTGGATGTCATTATTGGAGACATAAGATAGACATAAATATAGTTGCTTGATTGTTCATGCTGCAAGTGTAAAGAAAAGGCATTTATCATTTTCAATGTTTTATTTAAAAAATAATTAAAATATTATCTAGAACAGGAAAAAATATCCTTTGTATTTTCTCTACCCTCCTGGGAATAAAACAATGTACAGGTATTCATCCACACAATGGATTAGCACTGTGTCAGTTGGTGACATTATCATTATCTTACACCCTGCTAGGATTAAACCTCTGTATTGTTCTAGTGGATCAGGATAACAGTTGTATATCTTGGCTTGCACCTCGTCCTCCCCTGCCTCTTCTTCCTCGGACCCTGGCTCCCCCCCCCCCCCCCCCCCACCTCTGCTTGCTTCGACCCCGGTTCTGTCCCGGTCTGTGCTTGGCTCTGGAGTGCAGTCCTCATCAGAGACAATATTGCTGTCACCGTGGAAGCTCTAACATGCAAAACAACGTACATATTATGAGCCTAACACAAAATTTACATTTGTGTAGTGTAACTGATGGTAACAGAAAAATGTGTATCAGCCTGTTTTTAGCTTTGCCCAATGTTACCGCAGGTGTTACCACAGCTACCTGTTAGCTAACTTTACTAACAGTTAGCTAACTTTATGTTAGCTAATTGTTAGTTACTGAATCAAAATAAGTCTTTTTAAACCCATCCGATATTGACGTGGTAGCTAGATAGTGAGTACTAACAGCCGTGTTGAGTACCTAACTTAATACTGAATTAGCTGGTATATCCTGAATGTAATCAACACATGGAGCTTCTGCGTTTACTTGCTTTATTGTCTGAACACAGGCTATTGCCATCCCACAACCACGTCTTCCCGCTATCTCCCCCCATTACTTCCTGTTTCACTAGACACATGGCATCTCTAAACCAATTCATGACATCCTGTCTTTTCTTGGAAATAAACTTATCCACTTAAACAAACACTGTACCGTATCGTACACAAGTGGTTATTACCTTTTTGTTTTCCTTTCTATAACACCTATTATCTTTGGCTTAGCAACCACCTTACCACTTCTCTCGTCAACCATATATAACATAATACACATCACTTCAACACAAAATCATGAAGTCTGTCAGGTGCCCTTTTAACCCTCTGAGGTCTGGCTATTGTTCTGATGTTTCCATATCCTGGGGTTGTATCTGAATGTTTGTGTCTGTAATAAGTACACTTTCCTCCGGTCCTGGTGTTTTCTCCTGTGTACTGTGCATTTCATTTGGCTGGTTAGTCTCATCTCTTTTCACATGTGTGGTGTTTCTCTATAACGTGCTCCCAGAGATTCGACCACAACTTGATTTCCTGTCTTTACGACAACTTTATATGGTGATGCTTTGAATCATATGGTGAACTTGTCCACTTTGTCCTGCTGTATGAGTACCGCGTCTCCAATGTCCACCTTTGAGTAATGAGCTCCCCTCTGTTCATCAGCATATAATTTTGCCTTTCCTTTCACAGATATCTGGCAACTTTCCCCTCATTTTTCGATTCAAGAGCAGCTCAGCAGGGCTTTTTCTTGTGGTGGCATGTTCAGTGCTCCTCTACATAGTCACATACTTTCTTAGTTCAAGTTTCCAGTTCAGTCCTCCTGCTTGGGCAATCTTTATTCTTTTCATCTGCCATGAATTTTGGCGCTCTACTTCTCTATTTCCTTGAGCCCATTTTGGTGTCATCCTCACATGTCTGACTGTCCATTATTTTCACAGTATTCCCTGAACAAGTCAGATTTGAACTGCGGTCCATTGTCTGATTTGCAGGTGATTGGTAGTCCATGTCTGCTGAAGATTGACTCAAGACTGTCAATGACATTTTCTGTGGTTGTGCTTTATCCATGCCAGGCCACCAAACCTTGGTTCTGAGGTGTTGTTTGGTTCCCACTATTCCAAATGTCCTTCATGAGCTAGCACAAGCGCTCGTGCTTGTAGATTTTGTGGCAGCACTATGTGATTTCCTCGTAGGACTATGTATCCCACTATACACAGTTAATTCGCAATTGGTGCGAATGATTTACAGTTCTCAAAGTGTCCATCTGTGATAGCCCTGCCCTACCTCCACTAGTACCGGGTCAGTAGCAGAGGTCTCCTCCACCTCTCAGGTAGTTAATGCTTTGGGTGTAGCACTTATGGCCACGAACCTCACATACTCTTCTAATTCATGTTTGTGTACCTCCTTTTTTTCTGTATTTCCTAGCAGCCGTGACAGCTGGTCTGCTATGTTCTGTTTACCAGGTATGTGCACTACTCTGAAGTCATATGGTTGTCAATGCGTGCACATGGTTTGGATCGTTGACTGTATATAACTTCCAATGGTTTATGATCTGTGACTAGATCAAACTTCCTGCCATACAGATATGGATGTAGCCTCTCACAAGCCCACACCAGAGCTAAGGCTTCACGCTCTGTCTGAGAGTACCTCCGCTCAGGCTGCAGCAAACATAGCACACAGGTACCATCTCTCCCCTCTGGTCCTGCACCAGTACTGCTCCTACACCTACAGGACTTGCATCTGCAGTTACCTTTGTTGGTGCTTCTTTGTCAAAGTAGGCTAGGGTACCAGCTCTGGCTAGCTCATCCTTTAAAGCTTAAAATGTTTTTTTCCATTCTGGTCCAAAGTTGAACAGTGTGTCCTTTCTGGTCAAATGTCGTAGCGGCTCTGACAGCATTGCAAACTGTGATATGAACCTACTACTGGGTACAAACAGCTTGTTGGCAACTTAATGTTAAATTACCCAATATTTAAAATTATTTGTTCACAGAACAAACTAAATTATGCTAATGCTTGAAGCTAACCATTATGCTAGGTGACAGATTAAGACAACTGCTAGCAAACTTACCCCAAGCTTTAGCAGGAAAAAAGGCTGGACCATCTTTCTTTTTCTGCCTTTGTTCCACTTTAACTTTTATCCATCCATCTTCATCCTCCAGTCTAGAGCACTCTGTGATCATTTGCTGGTCTTCAATCAATTTTTTTGGCAGCCGCGAACGGTTGACATCAAAGATGCTGACAGTCAGATGAGATGCACGCGAACGCAAACGGATTGCACAGCCTACTATTGTGAGAGGTGCCCGACTGTATCGAAAGCATTTTGCGATTCAGCAAGCCGGAGATTATTAGCTTGCTTTTGTACTCTTTGAGCTAGCTACCTCTCGGTCGAGTTTGATGTTGATAGCAGTTGTGTAACGTTACAACCGTGTAGGCCTACAACACGCGAAGTAATGGCAAAACGTCTAGGACCTTAAGATACTTGCGCGGCACAGAAGCACTTCCAAGGAGAACAGATGGAATGCGAAGGTAAGTAACTTTGAACCACTTTTATTTCTGTTATTTGTAATTCTCAAAGCCAGTTACACAGTTGTAACTTAGTGCTTGTCTATCAGGATAACTTTGCTTATATATAAATTCACATAATGAAGAATGACAGACATTGCAAAATAAATTATGCCAGAATAGCAGCCTTGCGCCAACATTCAGCAGAGATACTAGCAAAATAATTATGATTGCACAAAAAAAGGGAACTGGACTTGTTATTTATACACTAATCTGCTTTGTCTGTGTTGTACAGTATGTACCAAAAGTGTTATTGTGAGAACTGTTTTGGCAGGATATGAAAGTAAATGGACAAATACAAATGCAGTATTCTGTATTACTAACCCAGGACAGCACAAAGAAACTAGTAAGGATATTTCGGCACCATTAGGACTCATGTCATATCATGCATGGGTAATTAAGCTCTACAAAAGTTGAACACACAGGTACACACAGGTAGCTACTCTTTCTTTGGGATTTGCAGCTCTGTAGGATATGATGAAATTATTATCAATTTTGTTAAAATCCACGTCAAGCATTTCTAGAAAAATTACATTTTCTAGAATAAAAGACAATATGCTGGATTGATAGTCCTGATAGTTGTGCTGCTCGAATTTTTACAGCTTTTTAAATAAATAAAACAGTAAGCGTGTGTGTGCGTGATAAAAACAATTAAAATAAAACATTAAAATAAATAGATAATACCGTAAACGTGTGTGTGTGTGTGTGTGTGTGTGTGTATTAATAGACCAAAAAAATAAATAAATAATTAATTGATTAAAAAATAATAAAATAATCAGTAGCAATCAAAATAATAATAATTTGAAAATTTGTACAATTATTTATCAGTCTAAGTTTCCACTGGTTGTCCTCACTTCATGGCATGAGGAGACATATTTTGCAGTAATTATTTGATATTTGGGCATTTCTCCCAGTAAATAGTTTCTGTGTGTCTGATATAAATTTGAATTAGGGGTATATTTGGGAAATGTTTACAAAGTGTTTTTGTCTTAGTGTTTCTTTAGGGCATGAGGTTAGAAAGTGCAGCTCTGTCTCTACCTGCCCTGTGTCACACTGGGAGCAGAGTCTCTCCTCTTGTGGTAGCCAGCTCTGTCTGTGGCACCCTTTTCTATGGCCAGGCTGTTCACTCAGTCTGTATGTTGTCAACATTTTTCTTAGTTTAGGACATTTTATTGTGCTCAGGTAATGTGCCAGTGTGAATTCTCTTTTTAGGGTCAGATAACATTGGAATTTACTTTGTGTTTTGGTCGTTTCTTTCCAGTATTCAATATATTTTTCTTTGTGCTTGTTGATAATTTGGTTTGGTCTGCTTGAGTTGGCGTTGCTGTCCTGAGGTTGTTGGGGACTTGTTACTGCAGAGAGAGCCTCAGGACCAGCTGGCTGAGGGAACTCTTCTCTGGTTTTAGCTCCTGGTATGTTAGAGCTTTGTGATGGTACGTCTGGGGGTTAGCTGATTTTAAGTGATTGTAAAATTTTATTGATCTTTTCTGTATTTTTAGTAAGTGCTCTGCACAGGTTATTTGGTGTTTTTCTCTGCACCTGCAGGATAATCTTACAGAACTCGGTATGGAAAGATTCTGATTGTTTTGTCCCATATATGTAATATTAAGGCCAAGGTAAGTGTAGTTTTTTGTATGTTGTAATTTAGTGGTGTCTAAAACGAAATTGCGTGTAACCTGATTTCTGTATTGTTTCTAAAAGATCATTATCTTAGTCTTACCTGTGTTTACTGTCAGGGACCAGGTCTGACAGAATCTCTGCAGGAGATTAAGGTGCTGCTGCAAACCTTCTTTAGTAGGTGAAAGCAACACTAAGTCATCTGCATACAGCAGACCTCAGATCTCAGGATGAGGCAGGTGGTCTGGAGGGTAAATATATGGTCCGTTGTGCGGCAATTTGGCAAAAAACAATTTGGCATTTATGCAGAATATTGTGGTCATCAAGAAAGTTGACAAGTCGTTTATTAATGATGTTGCAGAATATTTTTCAGGTTACTGGTTACACATATTCCTCTTTAGTTATTTGGGTCATATTTATCTCCGGATTTATGTTTTGGGGTTATTAAAAATTTGTTCCAGATGTATGGAAAAGTTCCAGTTGCTAGAATAGTATTGAATAGTTTTAGTATAGCCAATCTGATTTTATGGTCTGAGTATTTGATCATTTCGTTGAGGATTCCATCAATACCACAAGCCTTCTTTCCTTTCAGGGACTGGATGACATCTGTTAATTCTTGTTCTGTTACAGGGTAATCTAGGGTAATCATAGGTCATGATGATACCATTTTTAACATAAGGAGTAGCTGGTGGCCGCGTTCAACTTGCTGTCAGTGAACACTGACCAGCCAGTGGAAGAGTTGTGGTCCGAGATGGTGTGTACACAAAATTGCGGAGGACGCCGTTGGTTCAACGAAACCTGGTAGAAAATACATCAACAAACAAGTATGGTGGTGGAATGAGGAGGTACAAAAAGCAATAAAAACAAAGAAGCTGGCCTTCAGAACCTGGTGGTGATCGTGGACGCCTGAAGACTTCGCCCAATACCGCATGCTGAAATCGGCGGCGAAGAGGGCGGTGGCCTCTGCGAAAAGCCAGCACTACCGGCACCTGTACGACCAGCTCGAAACCAACAACATCTACCGACTCGCCAAGGCCCGACACAGAGCAAAACAAGATGTTGACATCAACCACGTTGTGCAAATCAAGGGGGCGGATGGGCAGGTCCTGCGAGACCCCCAGGACATCTTTCAACGCTGGTCAAACTACTTCGGCAATAAGAAATGAAGAATTCCCACACCTGCTCATACCACCTGTGGACCCTGTCCCCGGGCCCGTCACGCCGATTACCACTGCGGAAGTTCGTTTCGCACTGAAGAAAATGAAAAATGGGAAAGCCACGGGACCAGACGACATCCCAGCTGAAGTGTGGAAGATTATGGGTGACCGCGGAACTGCATACCTCGCAGCCCTCTTTAATCGGGTCACGGCCGAAGACAACCCCCCCTGTTGAATAAATCCATTGTTTATTTTATTCTACTCGTTATCAATATCCTAGAGGTGCTGTTATTAATCAGAAGTGCATTAGTGCAGTGGTCTCACTGGGTAAAGGTGTTGACCACTAATGTCATTCTTTCAATGTAAGGTTTGACTAGTAAGTGTTTAAGTCAACTAGTATTTTATTCTTAAGACTTAAAGGAATATATTCTGTGTAATTCATGAACTTGTGCCTTTTCAATGTGCCTACATGAGCAGAGCAGCCGCTCAGGCAGAGTAGGCAAAACCTAGCCTACTGTAACATACACAGTGGTAGCAAGGTACCTGCTACAAGTCACGTACGCCAGGAATGAGATCATGGCAAACTGTGGCCAAGAATGAGATCATGACACATTGTGAATGATGTCAACTGGTGCTGCAAGGTACTGCAAGTTACAGCTAGAAGCTAGGCTTTGTACTGCAAGAAACTAAGCTTGAGCAGGTGTGGGAATTCTTCATTTCTTATTGCCGAAGTAGCTATGAGACACGGCATATTCATGTTTGATATGTTGAATTATGTTATACGTTTATCAAGTTTGTTATTCCTTATTAATTTTTTTTAAAAATACAATTGTAAGTGTTTAAGTTTTAATAGTGTCAAATAATGCCTGTATAACTTTTAAAAAAATACGGTGAGACTGAAGTTGAAACATATTGGTGAATTTATAGTCCAGTAATGTTACAATTTATCCTTCTTTATATTTTTAACAATAATTATGCTGAATAACTAAAAGTGGTAATTTTGACATTAGTGAAAGGGTTAAATTGGTAAAACAGTATGTAACAACGGCCACTAGATGGCAGGAGAGGATAAGAAATTCACCATTAGAAGGGAGTGGTCAGCGAACACTGTAGGTGGAGACCAAGTGTAACGCCCACCTGGAAGGTGGAGTTTAAGGTGAATATAAGGCGAGGTTCGCTGAACACCAGCTCATTTCCATCCTGAGACCTGCAGGGATGTTACTCAGGTTTACTTGTCCTTTATTGGAATAAACTCTTTGGCACCGACTCTTGACCGTCTCCAGTGAAGTCTTTGACTATGCAGTTTTTAACTAAAGAAGAAGGCTAATAGAGTAATTTTTACTGAGTTAAATAAGTTGGTTAGGGTAGGGACCAGGTCTTCCACTAGCCCAGCCTGTCCTTATTTCCGACCCAACACCCCCCAGGCCTGGACAACGAGCACCACAGTGCCCATCTGGAAGGGCAAGGGGGACGCCACCGAGTGCACAGATTATCGGCCAATCCGACTACTGTGCCACACTATGAACTATGAGATCACAATCACCCTGAACCAATGTGGCTTTGTCAAGGGTTGTGGAACCACCGACACCATCCATGCTGCCCGGTTGCTGATGGAGAAGCACCAGGAGAAGAACAAGACGGTGCACATGGTCTTCCTGGACCTGGAAAAGGCCGGCCCTACAAGCTCAGGCACAAGCGTGGAAAGATTGACTATCCGAGAACGGCATGCGCCTTAACATCAAACATGAATACCTCGAATGTGGCCCTCAGACCGACGGCACTATCACCATCGACAGCGAACCACTGACCAATTTCACAGAGCTGGTTCTTGCTGTGTTGTTCGTTCTTAGTTTTTAGGGTGTACTTGTATTGTTTCAGAGTGGCCTCATATTGACAGCGTATGTTGTGGTTATCTGGGTCCCTGTGCTTTCCATTTGATAATTTGCTTAAAGTTTTCCTTAGGTTTTTGCATTCAGTGTCAAACCATTTGTTATTGTTCATTTGTTGAGGTTTTGGTTTGGGGGCTTTCAAATTAGACAATAAAGCCAAATGATGAATTATTCTGGGGAAATGTTTCAGTTAAAAATAAATCAGTTAAATCATGTAAGTTTTGATTTTCCAGTGCCTTTTGGTACGTCCCCATGCTGTCTGGGGTCCATCTGTATGAGTATGTGCTGTTAAACAGTTCACAGGCATTAGGGGCCCCAGACTAAGACTGAGCCCTTTTCAGATGGATAGTGATTTTGCTGTAGTCTGAGAGGGGTGAGAGGGGGCAGACTGTGAAAGCTCTGAGAGACATTGGCTCTAGATCTGTAATGAAATAATCTACCGTACTACTGCCAAGAGCTGAGCTGTGAGTGTAGCGACCTAGAGAGTCCCCTCGTAGCCTGCCGTTGACTATGTACAGACCCAGCATACAGCAGAGCTGTAAAAGCTGCATACGACATGTATTAGTAAGCTTGTCAAAACTCTTTCTAGCAGGACGTTCAGGGAGGGGGAAGCAGGTGCTTCCAGGTAAGTGTTTGACTCCCTGGGTGTTCATAGTGGCAGCTCTTTCCCCTGTTTGAGCGTTCCCACAGAGTAATACATTTCCCATGGTTTTATAATTGTTAACTTCCTCCTCAAGAATAGAGAAAATATCTGTGTTATAGTAGGGGGATTCTGAAGGTATTCTGAAGGATTCTGGAGGTAAATAGATGGCACACATGTAGACATGCTGATCAGCACAAATCATCTGTTTGTTATTTTTCAACCATATATAAGCTTCTTTTTTAATTACTGTGATGGACTGGCTCAGTTCTGATTTACACCATATAATCATGCCTCCTGAATCTCTGGGTTTGGGTTATTGTGGGATTTTTTTGTTGATGGTATAACAATCTCAGTGTAGCCATGAGGACCAGTGGAAACATCTTCTCTGCACCATGTCTCCTGTAAAACTATGTCA